GAATTTGTAAGCAGATGATAACGAGGTAGAGAAAAAGGAGAGCCACACGTTTAATTATGGCTTTTTCGTTCACCGCAGCTACAGCAGAACTATGGCAACAGCTACTCTAGAGTGACATCAACGTCGCATCAATTTTGAGAGTCCAGACACAGGTCGCATTTTAAAATATCCGATCTGTATAGGATTTGGACCAAATATGAAAATGGCCCAAATCTGAACTGTAAAAAATCAGATTGCAAGTGACTTGGCCTGTTCACACGGTCATAAAAATATCAGATCTGAGTCAAATATAAGCTAAAAAAAAAAAAAAAAAAAAAAAAATCGGATTTGGGTTACTTTGGCCTGCAGCCTGAACATAGCCGAAGACGCCCCAGGCTTCAGAGGCAGCAGCAACGTCTAACAGAGAGATGGGGAGGCTAGTACCACTGCCCCCGCTCAGGAGTTATTCCCCACTGTTTGTTCTCACTGTTCTTTCTGACTCATCGATACGAGCGCCATGGCATCAAATATAATGAGCCCGAAGCTTTGTGTGGACCCGGGACGTGATCACACACGTTTTGTACTATACACTGTTGCAGGCAAAGGAAATGTGGGCAGTTCTTTGCAAAACTTCAGCTTTAAAGTTTGGATTTAACCATAAACGACATTAAGAGTTTACGGCCATGCTAACGGCTCTGTAATAGGGTGACCAGACGTTTTTGTGGCGTGTCCCAGTCAGGAGCTGTCACCGGAAATGTGCCCATTTTTAACTGTGTGTTAATCATAGAATGTAAAAAGTGTTAACAGACCTAAAATCAGATTTTCCGTGGCCAGAAGGACTGGACAGCAGAGCAGACAGGTGTCATGCCGAAAAGTGATTGTCCGCCGAAATCTAATTGCCGTGCAGTATGTTAAAGCTGTATCCCTTTTGCAATCATCCTTTTGACTCTACATTATTTAACTTGCTGTGTACCAACCAATCCAGTCCTTTTTACCTGTTGAAATACCTTTAAAAGGGCCAAAACAACCCATAAAATGCAATATTCTACTTGCCAGAAAGTTATTGCAGGCTCTACTTATTGACAGAAAGGTTATTTCTGCTCTGAAATGACTTGATTATATTCATGTGGGTTATATTTGACAGATTATAAAACCGCAATTGTCCCACTTGTCATTTATAATAAAAAAATATATATTTATGACATACGGACTACCAAACCAAAAATGTCCCCAGTTTTCATTTCAGAAATCTGGTCACCTTATACTGTGGTGCTGGAAGCTAAATGCTAACACATCTTAGTTAGCGAGTTAGCATGGTAGCATTTTAAACTTGAAAGTTTGACCTGGTGATGGGGGAGTCATTAGGACTCACCGTCTGAATGGCAATCCTCCTGATAGTTTAGACACATTTCACTAAATGAAATGGTGCTTAGATGTTATTGTCCCGTACAGCAGTGAATACTGATCTGCAAACCACAGAAGCATGTTACTTTTCCAGAAACACAAATAAAAGAAACCCTTAATGAGAAACAGAAACTAGCATGAAAACACCTAACAGAGCCAAAGTCCGTGACACGATTAAGGCTGATGTACGATGGTATTGTATTTGCTTTTTTAACAAATCTCTTTGTATATCAAACTCAGCCTTGGTGGTTGTTCCTTTCTTTGAAGGTCAGACTCACAGGTGAACCCGCAGTGGCCCCCCCACAGTGGTGTAAAACTGTAAATGTGGGCAGCAGATAGAGAAACCACAGGGCCTGTTTCAGTTGGCCCACTAACAGACGCATGCTAACAGAACCGGCTGGACTGAGACCAGCAGCTGCTGGACACGTCTGTGTGTGTTTTAAAGTGGGGCTGCAGTTGCTGTGTGTTTATTCTATCAAAACGTGTATGCACATACGTTTCTGCGTTTACGTCATTATCTGTGTGGCATTGTTTATTTATTTTTAAAATATATCTGTCAATTCAATTTTATTTATATAGCGCCAAATCACAACAACAATTATCTCACAGCGCTTTTCATAAAAGAGCAGGTCTAGACCGTACTCTGTGATGTTATTTACAGAAGCAAAATAATTCCCACCAAGAGCAGCACTAGGCGACAGAGGCAAGGAAAAACTTCCTTTTAAGAGGCAGAAACCTCGAGCAGAACCATGGCTCAGGGTGGGCGGCCATCTGCCTCGACCGGTCACAAGTCTTCATTTTCTTTATCTATTAACTTTTTTCTTGATTAATGAATAAAATTATTATTTGGCCTTCAAAATGTCACAAAAGAGTGAGAAATGCCAACATTTAATATTCGGCACATGTCTGCTCTGTAAATCACCCCAAAAGAGAGATGTTTATATTTTACATTTTTACATTTTTTTGCATCAATAATTCATAATACTGTTCGTTCTCCCCGTGGAACTTTTTTCCATTCAGCCAATGAAAACACACGAGTCTGACTACTGGTCTATTTGTGTTTACTTGGGTTAAAAACAACCTGCGAATATTCGCCCTTAATCTGGTTTACTACGGCAGTGTTAAATTAAATTACAATAACTTGATCAAAAGGATGCCGAAAAAAGTACATCATGATGCAGATTTGTTGAACATATAAATTCATGCTTTGATGGGTCGGTCTGCAAGATGACAAGCAAACAACTTTTAAAATGCCCGTCTTCTTAATGGAGTTCGGATCGATCAGCTACTGTATGTAAATTTATCATTTTCACACCATTCGCTTCTCACCTAAGAGAGAGAATTTGTGTCTCTCTGTATGTAATCAAGAATTTGGTTGGCATCCTATGTGAGCACACAGTAACAGGTAACATGAACACATGTCTTCTTCTGCACTTTAACTTCTTGAACTCGATACGACTCCACAACACAAACCACAGTAATGCACATCTAAATATCTGTCACGTTGTTCTTTCTCTGCAAATAGTTGTATTATATTTCTCTATTCTTTCATTATTCTTATATAACTTGCATTTGTTTATTCCATATTTATATATTTCTACATTTATTTATGTCAACTGTATGTTTGTCTACATGTAGCAGCTCATCACCAAAGCAAATTCCGCATATGTGTAAAACACTACTCGGCAATAAAGCTCCTTCTGATTCTGTTTCTTCTGATTGAACGAGTGACCAAACAAAAATTCAGGTTGCAGCCTAGATAGCTAATTAGCTGCAGAACAATTTATCAGCACATGTCAACATCAGTAAGTTTAGATGCTTAATGTTGCGAGTCCTTGTTCTTCAACACCACTGCTACAAAACACGGTTTTTAGCTTGTAAGCTAACATTTACACCACAGGTTTGGTCTCCCCGCACCTTAAACATTCAGCCATTAGTTAGACTTTTTCAAACGAGCACGAAGACAAAGTAAACGTTGACGGAAACATACTTTGCGAAAGTCCTATGTCCATTTCTGCAGGTGTTTTAGACTGTGTGCATGTTAACTTTCTGTGTATTGTAATGTATATTATTAATGGATGATTCAGTGAGTGCAAAGCAGGCTGTGTTATTTCAGTTTCCCTGAGTGTGTATGTGTGAGTGGCGTTCTGGGACATAAAGCTCTCTTTCTTCCAGCTTTGCTCGAAGCTCAAGTCGTCTGTCAGCCTTTATAACTCTCTCACTCCCTCTTTTTCTCTACTGTGTCTCCTCTGCAACCCTTCAAAATTAACGTTACAGGTAGCTTGTTTTAATTCCTTTATATACTTGTAACTATTTTAAATACAGGTAGCTAGTTTAACTACTTTATGCTTTAGCTCAGGGGTTTTCAAAGTGTGAGGTGGGCCTCCCAGGGGGGCTCCAAACAGTTTCGGGGGAGGCTCAGTGAATGGAAGTGAAACAATATTACATTACTTATTGCATTAGTTCTGAAAAGCAGATCACATAGAACAGCCTACATGTGTGAGAGTTCAGAGAGACATTAGTATTGAGGAACTGTCTTCCCCCCAGAGTCAAAAACTAAACATACTTTAGGACAGAGCTTTAAAACTATTTGGTGTAGTCAGACGTTATGTCAAACAGCAATATTAGGCTATTTGGGCTCAAATGTTGAGTGTCTATAGGATCAAATGGTATAATCATGATCCCATAGGCATCCAGGAATTGAGCGAAACTTACCAAGTAAACTAAAGATGTGGTGTGGGGGTGCCTGTTTCCCAAGCTTTGTCTGAGGGGAGGCCCGCAGTCTCAGACTTTGAAAAAACCCTGCTTTAGCTAGTTTAGTACCTCATATTTATACAGTGCTTCAGTAAAAGTACCTAATTACTTTCCACCACTGACACACAAGACTTTCATTTGCATTACTAAAATACTTTTTTTTTTTTATTAAATCGGCAAAATTATACCGTTACAATCTCAGTGTTACAACGCATTTTAACCCGAAATTAAGTGTTTTTTTAATAATTCACCAACACTGAGAAACATTTCGGCAGCAGATCCAAATCCATGAGTAAAAGAGTAACGTTATTTCCTGTTACAGGACTCCGATGGTCGAGATTGTAAGCAGGGTGCAAACTAAGAGGGAGCTAGTCTCCTCTTAACGGTAAGATGGTAGCTCCCCTGATGGATCATGCGTAAATAGATTTCTATAGGCCGTGTGTTTTTTTTTTCATGATTAGAGAGGCTGCTGTCAGTTCATCCAGACCGATCCTGTCGGAGTGTGTGTCCATTAAACAGAAGTGAAAGTAACTCAAAAGTAACGTGAAAGTAGTGTAAATTTGTAATATAATTAATTATTCTCAAATGACAGTTACTAGTAATCTATAATGTATTACATTTTGGAAGTAACTTGCCCAACACTGCTCATTTGGAAACCAGGACAGAGAAAAATACACACACACTGAACAAACTTGCACAAGATTTTGGCACGCAGACTTATATGTACTACTGGAGATACGCTCATTAATTCACATATGTGTACTTTCCATCCAGAAATACACCTACATGCTTGCGCAGTATGTTTCCATCCCTGCTGTTAGCCCAGTGTGATCATGGGTAAAATGCTCCGTCAGTAACCTCACCTTGTTCGCTGCTGTTGTCGCCGCTGTGAGACGTGTGTCCACCGCTGGACGGTCCCGGTGTCCCGGCCGATCGGATCGATGCTGCGTCGTCATGATCTCTGCTCCATGAAAGCTGCAGGGAGGACGACACAGGAGGACATTCAATGAGACAGAGCAGAACAATGACATCTAATGTGATAAAACATTAGAACTTTTGTGAAACTATTGTCAGTTAGTGTCCACAGGAGGAGTTGTTGATGAATACATTAAGAAATACTTAATATTGCATTGTAGTGTGAAAATCAGCCTAAATAAAAAATTAAAGGGCATCATTGTCCCACCCACACTGTTTGATTGACAGGTGATGCAAAAACACCTCATCTAAAAAGAGACTAAAATACAAGAGGATTATCATTCCACCAAAAGGAGGCCCTTGAAAATGAAACCAGAGCTGCTGGTCATCCGACACTAAGCTGCTCCAGTTCACACTTCTAGGTGATTTAAAGGGTTAAAGGGCTGACAAGTGCCTGCTGAGAACTTCGCTGCAGGCCGATTTAGAACCTGCTCGGCTGGCTCAGAAAACAGACACAAGCTGACTTTTCACCCCTTGTATTTTAGCTTCTCTGGGAAAAGAGAGAAGTCTTCACAAGTCCAAGAAGAAGCAGTTTAAAACAGACACTTATTTCTAGCTGCAGATGTGACTCTCACAGCAGGTGGATCAAATGTATCTGCTCATATTCTAGTTTCCCTTTTTTGGGGATTTCAACGTATCAGGTTTGTTTAATGAACCCTGCAGAGCTCACTCGATTGTAGCCAAAAAAGGAATAATATCGTGTGATCAAGGTCCTCTTAGGACGCTTTTCCAGGGCTTTCAACCACATGTAAGGTTCTTTATCGCCAACACAAAACTGAGATTAATGACGGGATGTTTACAATAAAACTCCTGGAGCTTGTCCGCAATTACCGACATCATTATGATGTCTCATTAAAACCATAACCTCTTCGAGTGTCGCTATGTTTGGTTTGTTTATGTTGTGCAAATTCGGAAGTTGTCAAGGAAGATAATCCAGTGTCTGTGAGGGATGACCCGGTCCTGGTCTGCCCCCTAGCGGATTCAGGTTTAATCCTCCAGGTACACGCAAAGTACGCAGGCAAGTATGTGAACTTTGCCGTTTGCGACGCCGACGCCTGTCTACACCTACGCATTGTTAAAAAGCAAGTATGTCGGGGGCTTAATGCTGCACAATCCATAATAGAAACTGTGATTTAAACTCACCTGGATATAAAACTTTATTAATCTGAACGTGGGAATGCTGAGTTAACGAGTGAACGCAAAAACAAGGGTTAAGGGTCTTGCTCAGGGACACATTTGTGTCTTGCAGTGGATTTGAGTCCAGGTCTCTCACACCAAAGGCACGTGTCTTATCCACTGCGCTATCACCAGTACAATAAGTCAAACATTTAAAAGCTTGCAGCGTGTTTCTGTACTATCCAGCAGTATCATGACAAGGCAGTGTGGAAATTAGCAGCAGAATATTTTTCTTTTTCCGGGAAGTGACAGTGAGCTCACCTGATCCATGTTGTTCCCCGATGACCTGATGAAGTCCTCGCTGTCTGATTTGTTTCCATCTGTGTCGTCTATAACCAGATCGATTGGCATTTTCCCTTTCAGACAGCTGATGTATCGATGACAGAAGTTATCACAAAGCTCATGAACCTGGAAATAAAATTTAAAAATACATTAAAAATACAAACAACACAAGGACAGCAGGTGAGAGGTTATGTGAAGACCTATGTATGTAAAGTATGTCAAGTCCTCGGCTAATGACTTCTCCAAAAGTCAGGAGTCAGCCAACCTGCAGTACAAAGAGACGAGATTGGAGGTGTTGGTTAGAGCTGCCCTGCCCCATAAACAAAAACACACCAATTTTTAATTTTCATGATTATTTTCACATTTTATGACAAATTGAAATCCAGGTAATTCCAAAGGGTTCACATACTTTTTCCTGAGACTATAAATGTGGTATCTAGTATAAGATCTTCATCAGTATAAGTTTATATCTAACACAGATTCTCACTCCCGACTCGTCACATATTGATGCTTGGTCAAGGCCCTTTGGCGTCGCTTATTAACGCCCTGGGTAGCCCTTTAGTGTAATTTACAGGTGTTTAGGGCTCCGCACTCAAGTTAGCAACAACAAATATGCAACAACCGGTAAAGTTAGCAACAATAAATATGCAACGTCTGGTTAGACTTTCAAAACATTTCGAAACATCGCCATTTTGAAACGGCACATTATTAAAGTTGTGAAACTTTGCGATTTGGTTAGGTTTAAGCACAGTATGTACTTGGTTAAGTCTAGGAAAAGATCATGTATGGGTTAAAATAACTACGTACGTCAGTTAAGAAGTAAGTTAACTAACGTCACTTACGTCAATTAAATTAAATAAAAAATATTTAATGTTGACTTAGCTGGAAATTTACAGTGGAAATTGAATGACTAGAGACTGCAGCTCTGCTGTTCTCAAGATTAAAGCGGAGTCACCATGTGTCCCTCCCGGCTCGCAATCGCCCTGCACAAAAACACTCACGATTCGACTATAGGCAGGACTTCATCTCCAGTGTGTTACAAACTGACGCCGATGGGTCTTGTGTGCCTCCATATGTGACGAGTCAGGGAGTGAGAACGGTTTGATCTAACACAGTAAGTAATTTGTATGTTGCACTATAGTGTCCTGTTGTACTACTGGTGGGTGTTTTACAAGATCACTTTCCCATGGTAATTTAATCCATGCCACTACAGGAGGAGAGAGATATAAAAGTCTGTGTCCCCATTTGTTACAGTCTATTTGAATTAATTATCCGTGTCTTTATCTGAGGCCAGTATAGTGCCTTGAAATATGAGTTTCTGCAATATAGATTTCAGCTGTAAATACATCAGAGAACACAAATCATTAAGCCCGAAATTCGCTTCAAGCTCATTAAATCTCATTATTCACTACTGCTTTACCATCTAGCCTTCTGCTAGAGTCTTCCCTGCAGCTGTGAATACTGGATTCTCCCATAATGGACATAATGGCAACACAAATTCTTTGACTGCTCATTTCTTTTGGATTATCTTCGCTATCTCACGTAAAAAACCTAATAATTAGGTTGTTAATTGTTGTAATGACAGTTCCACTAATAAGAAAAGGAATTTATTTTGTTTAATTGTCTTAACACAGCATTTTTCCATAAGAGACCACAGTAGTATCTCAATGGTCACTACAAACAAAGATTATGAATAAATGTAAATATGTAAACACACCGATATTATAGGGCTAATATAGGATTACAGTGGTTTTTGTTCAGGTTTAAACTTGGATTTGCAGCATGATTACTGTTAAAACGGCAGATGTTGGTTGAATTACAGTCTAATCAGTAAAAAGGCCACTGTTTTTTTCTGACCTTTTCCAGCTCCAGAAGGTGGAAGCGCAGCACTTGTATAGCCTGGATCATCTACAAAAAAATCCCAAAACAAATGATAAAAATGTACAGGGAAACAAAAATCAACACTTTATATAATAGTATTTAAAATAATTACAGTGTAATAATAATAGTACTAGTAACTCACCAAATTATCCAGCTCTGGGCTTGATGAAAATAAAGGCCTCTCTGATCGAATCTAGAAACAGAAAAATTATTATAAATCAATACAGCGAGCGGGAGTTGCGAAAAACAACATTTTACATTTATAGAGGAGAAGAACAAATATAGATGACTTAAGAGATTTGAGTGATCAAAGAATTGCTGAAACGCAAACTTGATTTTATATGTACCTGACTACTGTTTCCAAGATTTAAAGTTTAAGATGCACAAACACTTTCAAGCAGAGAAAAATAAGAAGAAAGTGTCACGGGATCCAAATAAAATAGAAAACTTAGACTCCTATTTGCAAAGACGTGCAGCCTAGGTTAATTGGTGTCTCTAAATTGCCCTTAGGTGTGGATGTGAGTGTGACTGGTTGTCTGTCTATGTGTGGCCTGCGATGGACTGGCGACAGGGTACCCTGTACACAGGGTAAGCGGTTGACAATGGATGGATGGATGGATACTCTGATTTGCAACCTACGTGCCAATTTTGGTGAGTTTTCGTCCAGCAGTATTTGCTGCCCAAACACTTTTAGCGGAGAGAAAGAAAGAAAGAAGAAGAACACCAACCACACACACACACACAACACAGACAACCGTCCTGGGGCCCCAATCCCCAATGACAAAGTTTGTTTGATTTACCAGCTCTTTCGAAACAATAGGTCTTTGATTTCAGATAGAGCAAGACAAAAGCAGCATTTTTATTTGTCTTTATCGATTTAATTTGCCAGCTGAAACGACGAAAATCGCTAGATTCTATCAGCTGTAGCTAATAAGCTAGCGTTAGCACCATGAGTTGGTTGGAAATTGTGTCTCCAGCTCACTTTTCAATGTGTCCAGATGAATTGTTTTAAAACAAGAAACACTAAAAAATATGCACTTGACAGCTACATATATGATGTCAAGCTAAATGACTGATGCGAAAGCTAACAGGCCCATGTAAAAAGAAAATCGGCATCTTCACCAATGAAGGTATGAAGACTTAAAGAAACAACGTTATTTTTGTATTGCACTGTAGAGCAAGAGTAAGTCTTAGTGTCTTAAGTTCGATTAAATGTAATATCAACTCTTATTTCACTAAACACTAATCAGTGTGTTTGGTGAAAGTTGCCTTAACTCGAATATCGGTAAACTTCATAGGACAATCATCCTTTAGTGTGCGGCCAGCTTAACGCTATTGTCAGTGGTAAGCTAGTTAGCCTGACGTGCTAACATTAGAGCAGATAAACCAACACATTCTCACTCCCGACTCGTCACATATTGATGCTTGGTCAAGGCCCTTTGGCGTCGCTTACTAAAGCCTTGGGTAGCCCTTTAGCATAATTTTTTGACGTTTCAGGCTCAACGCTCAAGTTAGCAACGCCTAGCAACAACAAATATGCATGTCCGGTTACACTTTAATAATAAAACGGCGCGTTAAAGTCGTGAAACGTTGTAATTTGGTTAGGTTTAGGCACAGAAAGTACTTGGTTTGGGTTAAAATAACTACGTAGGTCAGTTAACACGTAAGTTAACTAACATCACTTACGAATCTTCCGCAATTTACCTAATTTGCGTAACTTAAAAATATTGATATTGAATAATTGACTTTTTGTTTCACACGGGATGCAAACTCCATTCTCCTGGTTCAAAGTCTGGATTCTGGCCCTCCATCCATCCCAACCACCTCCTTACTTAGTATTTTATGTTAAATATCATACCTACCTTTACCGTCACAAACTGACGCTACAGGGCTTTCCCCAATGCGTTGAACTATGAGGGTAAAGGGATCAGTTTGTGACACACTAGGGAGTGTGTCACAAACTGACGACTATGGCTCTTGACCATGCATCTATATGTGATGACTTGGGAGTGAGAACGGTTGGATAAACAAACTGTTGATGCATTTAGTGGATTTTGGAAAGGTGATTAAAAGAAATACACAACACCATCCAAACTCTTAAAATGCTGAGTATGTCCCACTACAGCTCCACTCACACAGCTTCAACAGAAATCCAAACCTTTACAGACCTGCTAGTTACAGCTGCCAAGCTATGACTGGCCCATCTCTGTTCAGGAGACAAACTGATAATCCTACATACGTTTTAAGAATAATATAAACCCATATTGTAGGGGCCTTAAGCCAACGCCTGCATTCTTACATAATTTTTGGCTCCGACATGTAGAGTGGCCCAAATAAATTGCACATTTCATCCTCATGATTTTAAACACTATTTTCAGTTCAGTTTAAATTTATTTTACATTTCCATTTGATATATTTCTGATTCTTTGGCAGTTCTCACTTTGTATATTCTGACTGTTATGTACCACAACACAAGTGAATTACTAATGGTAAACATGGTAAACAGTGGTCTTCCAACCACTCAAAGTGCTTTACACAATATGTCCCATTCACCCCATTCACACACTGATGAGGGGGCAATGTGCCAGCTGCTCGTCAATTCAAAGAAACTAATCATACACACACTCAAACAAAGCCGTCGGGAGCAATTTGAGGGGTTCAGTATCTTGCCCAAGGACATGCAGACTAAGTAGCCAGAGATGAAACCACCGATCCTCCGATTAGTGGGCGACATGCTCTTTCTCTAAGCCACAGCCGCTCCTAACATTTACTCAGCTGTATTTAGGTACTTTATTTTAGTATCTATTTGATGCCAGTTCATACTTCTACACTACAATACAGATGGAAATTTTACTTTGTCCACCACTACTTTTATCTGACAGCTGTTACTTTGCTTATTAAATATAATATTGCTTAATATATGATAATTTTATAAAATGTGAAGCATTGTTATAGATTAAACAAAATATAAATAGGTTAGAAATGTACCAGCTTATAGTGCGTACGCATTCACGTACTACTATACTATTGATCACAATATGATGATAAATAGACTACATGATCTGGTTGGGATGTCTGGATCAGTTTTAAAATGGTTTTCATCCTACCTTTCTGTTCTTTTGGAAGTTTTAGTGTTTATATGAATCAGATTATGTCTGAAACTGCGGGGTTGTTGTGTGGGGGCCCTCAGTGTTCTGTCTTGGGACCTATTCTGTTCCTTTTGTATAGATTTCCTCCGGGACAGATAATCAGTCAATTCAGTGACATATCTTACCATCTGTTTGCGGATGATATTCAACTGTACTGCTCAATAAAGGAAATTGAGTTCCATAAATTGTCTTCTTTAGTAAACTGCTTGACCAGTATCAAACAGTGGTTATATGACAATTTCTTGCTGTTGAACTCAAAGAAAACAAACACTAATTATCGCTCCTGAAAGTAGAATCCCTCAGATAAAGCAGCAAATTGGTGACTTAGGCTCGTCTCTCCAGCCGAGCGTCAGGAGCTTAGGTGTTGTTTTTGATTCAGTGATGTCCTTGGAATACCACTCTAAACAACTAGTCAAACTGTTTCTTCCAAATTAAGAACACTGGTGTCAAAGGATGAGTTAGAGATGATCATTCATGCTTTTATTTCCTCTCGTTTAGATTTCTGTAACAGTCTTTTAACTTGTTTGAGCAAGAAGGAGCTTTACCGTCTCCAGGCTGTTCAGAACAGGCTTTTAACTCACATTAACAAAAGAGCACACATCACACCTGTTTTAGCAGCACTTCACTGGTTACTAGTCCAGTATAGAATTCAATTTAAAATCCTGGTTCTTACTTTTAGAGCCCTGCATGGTCAAGTTCCTCCCTATATCTCTGAGTTGATACAGTTTCATACTCCAACCCGTAGTCTGAGGTCATCTGGTCAGAGGCTGTTAGTGGTTCCCCACACTCATTTTAAAACCAGAGGGGATCATTCATTCCAAGCAGCGGCACCTAGGCTGTGGAATGCTTTGCCTCCCTTTCTACGTTGTGTGAATTCTGTTGATTCTTTTAAAAAGCAACTGAAGGCGCTGCTTTTCAAGCAGGCTTTTAGTTAGATGAGGGGTTTTTATGGTTGTTTGTTCTATGTTTTCCATTTGTATTTAAATTTTCTTATTGTATTTGACATTGTTGTATTGTATTTTATTGTAAAGCACTTTGTGATTTTATCTGTGAAAGGTGCTATACAAATAAACTTTACTTAAATACATTTTGCTTCAGTGACAATAATCCAGTCATGTATTCTGCACAGAGAATACTTTTACTTCTGACAGAACATTTTGCTGCTAATACATACTTTATTTTAACAGAATGTTTGAATGCAGATTATATTTCTCTTTGAATTGTAAAACTTGCAACAGGCTAATATATACACACTGCACTAAAAGTGGAATACTTGGGGGGTCAGTAGGGGCCCACAGAGGATTGATCCAGAGTTGGCGCTTCATGTTCCTGCAGATCTGTTCTGTACCAACACTGACACGTGGATGAAATGCATGTTTCTGTACCTGTTTGGAGAAGACGGCGATGTCCTCGTTGAAGGAGTCCGAGGAGCAGACGTCTCCACCGGCAACGCCGCTCTCTCTCGGTGTGCAGGTTGCCAATTCACATTTTTCAAAAATCAGTGCGAGCAGAGGGAATAAAGGATGTCTGCAGGAGAAAGAGTGAGAGAGAGAGAGAGGGGTGGGGGAGGAGGGATCAGCTCAAACTGCAAAAAAGAGCGCAAAAGTTTCCTGCAGCCTCAAACGGTCCTAAAAATACACAACAAACATTCAAGTGGTTATCATCTTTAGTTCACTTTTATGAATGGAAAAAGGACTTTACATTGATTGAGTTTAATTTAATCATCTCTTTCCAGTGTCCTCACTTACTTTGGATAAGAACACAAGGTCAATAGTTTCTATGGTAAGGACGATTTCTTCAGCGGAACGTGGAAAACAAATACTGTACTTGGGTGGAGGCAAAAATCTAATAAAACTTGGACAATTAAAACCCAAACTATCTGCACAGCACCACCAGAGGGACACTCGTGTCCAGAGGGTGGAAGCACTATTTGGATCTGTAATGAAACACGAACCAGGTGCCCACTTGTTAAATACAAGAAAGAAAACACACACAAGGGCAAGCTTAACAGCAGACTTAGCTAAATTCAAAGTTAAATTTGAAAAAAGTTTGGATTAGAAGGTGAAGCTGACTCCAGTAACTGGATCTGCTTTGGTAAACTGAACAGACTGGACTCTGGGACACCCAATAGATCTCTATGAAAAGTAACATTGCAGTAATCTAGACACAGAAATAAAAGCAGGTATTACACTTCTACTGTTTTTCAAATGCAGATGATGTCTTCGCAGTCAACAAGTCTTCATACCTAAACGCCAAAATAGGTTGATTGTCAGGTGTCCCAAAACTAAATATAAGACCGACACATTACGTAAGGCACATGACTTAAGTCACATGGCGTTTAACAAATGGTAAATCTACAAAAGGTTGTAGTTTGTTTAGGTTAGGCAATAAAACAACTTGGTTAGGTTTACGTAAGTCACGTGACGCAAGCCATCTACAAAATGTTATTTAACTTAAAATATATCTCCTTTGACTTTCTTCCACACGGGACTCAAACCTGAGTGAAAGTCCTGAGTTTACTTGACTCGTCTATCCACCCCACCAACTCCTTATATTGTCGCGCTTTATACTACGTCACCTGACTTCTTCTGCCACTTGAAGCCTAACAATAAACATAAACATGGGCGATTATAAGCTGCTGCATAGTCGACCTATACGAACGTTTCTCCGGTGACGACGGGCTGTTGCAGTTGGTATAAACAACAGTAAAGTAGTTCGGTCTCATAACAGATTAAAGCTTGGTTTGAATGTTATGCCAAGAATATCTTGTTTCCATTTTAATGTGGAATAATAAGGAGCCCATTCAGAGACATGCAAGTTTCAATTTGACTGCTTTAACTAAAGCGATTTGTCATCTGGCTTTATAAATCCACCAGGCAAACTTTCAGTGGTGCGCAGGTCAGAATGTTTCACCAAAAAGCTTTAACTGACTGTCATTAGCGTTAAAATTAAATGAGATACCATGGCACACCTTAACACTAACATGGTGAAATCTATACGGCGAAAACAGAAATACAAAACATAATCAAACCCTGAGGAACTCCAAACATCTGCAGTTATACTCTGATTGTTAGTCATAATCTAATTATTGTGCCCATGTAAATATGTCCCGAAGAGTTGACACAGAAAATGTATCGCAACTATTTTAATAACATTTTTTGGGCTTAAATGTCCCAATAATTGCAGCCTCAAACGTGAGGATTTACTGCTTTTCACCATCTTCTATGTTACTAAACTGAATATCTTTAGACTGTTGGCCAGATAAAACAAGCAATTAATAACTATTTACATTTATTCATTTAGCTGACGCTTTTATCCAAAGCGACTTACAATCAATCAATTCATTTAGAAAAGAATCTGCTAATTAGCCAGTTATGAAGTGATTAAATGTGAGTTGATTTGACAAAGTTTTTACAGTGCAGATTTACACCAGATGCAACAAGTAGAGCAACTGTAGCTGCTGAAGGAGTCAAAATGGATCCTGCTGCTCTGACAGTCAACAAATACCCAAAACTAGTGCTTTTTTCATGTTTTTAGTTTGTTGCAGCATCCAAAGTTAAAGTTAAGGGTTGGACATAATGAATTTTAAAGAAAGAAACCGCCTTTGCTTTACACTTTTTTGCTGTAACATTGAAAAGGTACTGCACTTTTACAACAGTACAGTGTTGAGGCACTCACATGTTGGATTTAATGCCACTTTATACCTCTATTCTACTACATTTCAGAGGGAACTATAGTACTTTTTATGCCGCTACAAAACCTAATAATAATCAGCATGCATTGCTACAAGTTAATCTCGTCATATAAAATAAAATTGGCTCAACCTTGCACTTTAAATAATACAATGATTTAATGAGTAGATAATGTAACACTGGCAGAAGTTATTATTCTGCAAAACGAGGACCTTTACTTTTGATACTTTGAGTATGGACTTGCAGGGCTTTTACTTGTCATGGAGTATTTTTTACATTGAGGTAGTTAGTACTAGTAGAAAGAATTTACTTCTTCAGCCATTGGTTTTCACCTCCTCGTGAACCGACAGCAGCAGGTTTACATACAGATAACTTTAGTCTGGCTCAGCTCGGCATGGAACGGAAAGGCTTTTAGCTCAAACAGCGAGAAGCTACACAGATGAATCAAACATTAAAATACACAAACAAACTTATTTTTACAGAAGAAGAAAACTGTTCTGAAATAGCTTTTTGTCCTCAGTCTATATTTGTCATTTTCATTTTTTTTTTTTTTTTTTTTACAGTGTAAGGAAACTCCTCATACCCATAAATGGCGTCTCTGTCCCTCTTGACAGCGTCCCCGGCTGTGGCGGCCGTGCTGCTGCTGCCACTGTGGGTGGACTGGGCATACTGGTGTGGAGGGTATGGACCACCAGCAGTGGCGGCGGCGGCTGCCAGGTGCACGGCCTGCAGAGAGCGAGCAGCAGCGGCATGGTGGTGATGGTGATGATGGTGGTGTGGGTCTCCGTACACACCGCCCACCCCTTCCAGCCCATAGTGGGCCAGATCTTCATACTGAAACACAAAGATAAGAGATGTGTGACCTCTGACCTCTTAAGCTGTTCTGTAGGTGCTGTTCGCTGACCTCACATGAGGTCAAAACGCCCCCAAAATGTGAACGATAACAAGCTGGTTTATAAGCTGCATGAGGATGTTTAATGGACTTTACTTAAACTAACTTTACTTCACTGAAAACACTGAATACAAAACAGCCACAAACTGACACAAATCAATACTAATTTTAGATAAAAATAATGTAAACGTAAATCTGTGTATAGACCCCAATAACATTTGATAGATAAAATACTTCATATCTTAACATATAATAACATAATGAAATCTGAAAGAAAGAATCATCTAAAATGATCAGAGAGAAGAGTCAACAAAAACAAATACTACATTTGTTCCCTTTATTATGTCCACACCCTCTTTCTCTCCTCTAATATGACAAATATTGTGATGTTTTGGAAAAATATAATCAGTTTTAAACACAGTCTGTGTTTAAAAATATTATCATCACAGTCACTAATTATTATGTCGTTAAAAATAAATAATAAAAACACTATTTTGCCTTGAAAACACCCTGAGCCATCGTGAAGCAGAAGATTAATCCTACTTTGTGCGGTTTTACACAAAATAACATGAACATCTAACAACATTAAGACGTCTCTGACAACCAAAACTCAACTTTATTAAGTTTAGGTATTTGTTGCATTGTGCAGGTCTTCCTATTATTGTGTCCAGCCCCTGTTTTATTTTGTCTAATGTGATCAATACTGTGATATTTTGGAAAACTTAACGTCTGAACACCTTGTCTGTGAACACAAACGATAAATAAAACAGCAATTTTTAGAGAAAATCATAAAAATTCAGACTAAAGTTCAAGTTGCCAAGGTGTGCCGTCTTGGCCAGGTCTCCCTCGGAAAAGAGATTTCAGTCTGAAGGGACTTCCTGGTTAAATAAAAGGTTAAATAAATAAAAAAGTTACCTTTTCCTAAAAAAACAAACAAATAAACAACATAAAACAGCCTGAAGCTTTTTGAAACTAAACAACATCTCTCTGCAGGGGAATTCTTTGCGTTTTGCATTTAAACTGTATATAAGGGGTGGACAAAATAACATGAACACTTGACAACATGATGCAGTCAAATGCAAAAACAACCACGACGTTAAAACAAGACGTTTAAACAACCCTAAACTGAATGTTTTAAATATCAGACTGCACTGCTAAGGTGTTCCGATTATTATTATGTCCACCCCCTGTTTCACTGAGTCTAACATGATCAATTCTGTGATGGTTTGGAAAAACCTAAGAGCTGCTAACGTCTAGACACCTTGTCTGAGAACACAAACGATAATAAAAAAGCAATTTTTAGATAAAATGATAAAAATAAAATTTAAAGTTAACTTTTCCTGAAAAACTAAAACGATAAAACAGCCTGAAGCTTCTTGAAAAAGTCTCTCCATTGGGGAATTATTTTTGTGTATGCATTTAAACTGTATATAGGAGGTGGACAAAATAACATTATAACACTTTAAAACATGATGCAGTCGAATGCAAAAACAACCTGTAAGTTAAAACGAGATGTCTGACAGAGTCAACCCAAACGTGTAGGTTTTAAATTTTATAAATCTTCTTCAGGTGTTCCTAATATTAATTTTAATTAAGACACCCCCCCCCCCCCCCCCCCGTACATATTCTGAAATACTTCTAACATTTGACTTCACTATGTGGTGAAAATAAGTGGCTACACAGATGAAATCGATTGTATTTTCAGAAAGAAAACAGGAATTGTTCTCAAATGTTTATACCTATATCGTATGTTGTTAGTATGTTGTATCCTTTATACAGGATTATTTCTAACATGATAGCTGAAGTGATTTTGTGGAAAGTCATTAGGTTAAACTTGACTTGACACTTTCTTCTACGAACATAAGATAAAGAAAAAACTATTTGAGCAAAAGTAAAAAAAATTTCAACTGAAGCAAGTGAAGGCCTGCTGCTGGACTGCTACTTGTGAAGTTTATTATTTTGTTTTTACTTTTTAAAGACGTGTTTGAGCTTTTATTTCATCCTATTTGAAATATACATGTAATTTAAATAAAAAAGGACTGTAAACATTTTAATCTCCAAATAAAGAAAAAAGAGCCATCCTGAGCAAAAATCTGTTTTAATTTCAATATCATAAATAGGATTTTATTCTTAGAAAGAACCTTATATTTAAAAATAATCTCTGTATAATAAAGTTTGACGTTTTCAAAACTTTCCAGACTGCGTAGATACATTAATAAAGCCCAAAAAATGATTTGTGAGCAAAATGGAATAGATTTTTATTTGAAGAACATGAATTTATTATTCTTTTTATTTTTCTTTTGCAAAAATATATCGATTGGTTGGTTTCCTTATTTTTGTTTTTTCAGCTATAGGTCTCCACCGTGGAACAATTAGGCTAGATGAATTGAAAGGCTGACCATAAAATGTCACATATTTAGGTTATAAAGAGTTTTATAGTTTAAAAGCAGCTGTGAGTAAAGAGGATCGTTGTTGTTTCTGTGTATATTCTCTGGAATTAGACAGATCGCTGATTAGTAATCAATAAAACACAGTTTAAAAAAAAAAATAAAAAAATTTGACCTGGACAGACTGTGCGAACAAAACGGCTTTAAAATTAGAAATGTTTCATTCATGTAGCTATAAAACCTCTTGTATTGAGCTGTTTGGCTGCGCGTGTTGAACAGATTTTTATCAGCAAACAAAACTAAATGCTTTTATTCTCCGCTGAAGCTGAAACTCAAACACGCACACCGCCTCCAACCCGCACCAAACACTGCGCTGAGTGCGGGACAAATGATGTGTTTATATGACTTTACAGCCTCTTTAGAAAGTGTGAACAGTTACTCACTAGCTTCAGCTTATAAACTCCATTTTAGTTTGAAGATTAGAAGTTTGCAAAGTTCGTAAAAAACATGAAGCCACAAAAATAGTTTTGTTCATTTCATATAGGCCTACCATTCATCGGCTGACAGGCCTAAAGGTCAAAATACAAATCAGAGCACGTTTTATCATCAAATGATGGGATTCTTTAGAACAAAACATATTCTAAGAAATGTTGACCTGCGGTCTCTGCTCAGTGAGCGTAAAGTGAATATATAGTGGCTGGGTTTCACTGCTGCAGGTATTATTCACCAAATCTAAAGTTCAGGTTTGTGTGGAAGCCTGCTTATAGAAAGCACAAAGCTGTAATGTACAAACTGGTTGTAAATAATTTAAAAAAGAGAACTATGAAATTAACTTTAATCTTTGCAGTGAAAAGTTAAATTATTTATTTTACGCACGGCTGAAAGTTTGTATCATCGTGAAATTAAAGTGATTAATATTAATTAGGCTAGCTCTTAGAAACAACTGTAGCATTAATAAAAACTATTATATTTCCAAAATAAAGTCTTAAATAAAGTATTCATTATTTGAAACGTTGAAATCCAGTTTTCTCTCAGTTTTGTTTCATTTTCCACAAATCCAAAGTTAGTTTATTGGACTTGATCTCTGCTCTGAACGTCAAACTTGTGCAGCTGAAGTCAAACCGTACTCTCGCGCTCATTATGTCTCCGCGCTCTAATAAAAGTTGATTTTTACGCACCCGTTGCGCCATCGGCCCCGTCTCTCCGCCCGGACTCCAGGTGACTCCTGCGGGGCAAAACACACATCCAACTCCCCGGGTACCGGAGCGTTAATCAGTTAATCCCGTGTGTAACGAGTGTATCCGAGTCCAGCCGTGGAGATAAAAGCACAAACACCCTGAGAGCAGCAGCAGCAGCAGGTCCCTGCAGGCTCCGCTCCCCTCTCCACGGGAACCGACTGACGGCGACGCTCCGCCAACTGCAGCACCACCCCGGGCAGACGCTGCCTGACCTGCTCCCGGCCTCCAGCTCCAGGCAACAACCAACCGCTCAGTCACCGGGCCGAATCCGATCAGGTTACATCCAAAGTGGAGGTTGACGCGGACCCGCCCGCTGCACTCTGAGCCGAGCCGTGCGGCGCTGTCTTCTGCGCGAAGGTGCGTTCAAATCCCTATCGCAGCGCCGGCGAAGCGGCTTCCTCCTCCCTCAGAGCAGGCCGTCCGGGATTGAGGCGAGGGGAGAGGGAGCGAGGGAGGGGAGAGTTTCTTCGCTCACTTAAAGGAGCAGAGACTCCCTGCGCCTCCCCGCAGCTCCCACCAGACTTGGGAAGGTGCTCCGCCGCGAAGCGCACTGGACGGAGGGAAAGAGACAAATATTTTTTATAATCTAGAATTGATTGTAGACATGAGCTGTGTTGACATAGCCTAGTGTATGTGAAGTTTGACTTTTACAAGATGGAACTTCTTTAAATACCTCTTAATATACATCTTAAATACAACAACGTTTCAACACAAGAGCGAAATAAAACTCATCACCTGATCACCAACCTGAGCAAAACAGCTGCCCCGAGTCCCCAGACCTTCAGGGGGCCTGAAGGCTCCAGGTTTATGTGGCAATTAGGTTTGTGGTAATTTCATTAACTGCAAATGTGTGCGTGTTAATATTGTATGCACCACTAAAGCACAATATGGGCCCTCAAGGTGACACCTGCATTATAATCTTGAGGCCCCATTTGCAGAGGAGTACAGAGTTAAAATCTGGTTTTAGAGCCCCTAATTGTTTAGCTCATATTATGCATTTTTACTAAATAAATTAGAACTGAGTCAAATGACAACTAACTAATTAATAATAACACATCTGCCTACACAGAGTGGGGGTCACCAGGGACACAGAACACTGCATAATGTTGATACAGAGATGTAGAGAGTGTTTAAGTCTGTTACAACTCCCTGACTTCTAAATAAACTGGACTTCATTGACTTTGTTTGCTACAACTCTTGGACACCAGCTCCATCTAGTGTTTATAGAGTGTGGATAGGCCCACAGCACTCCTTTAATATTAAAGATGTTTCATGAAGACTGTGCTCATATTTCATAGAGATGTAGGCACTTTTACTAAACTAAACTTACTGAATAGTGAATTTGAAAACTCCTGAGCCCGAACTCAACATCAGACCAAACATTTACCACCTGGAACCTTATGACAACAATAATAATAATCTAAAATAGCCTATAACTGAGCAGAGAACAAGAGTGACTGACCGCTGTATTCAAACATCACAGTAAAACTAAGTTCAAATATGAATATGAGGGAAAGACAAAGGATTAAAAGACAAACACTAACGCTTACAGAGAGCTATAAAGACTGATAAATACAAGACAAATGATATATATGGCTCCATACCCTTTAAGTGCCTTTAGGAATTTATTTATTTTAAAGGGTTATTTCGGTCTTTTTAAACCTGGGACGTATTGTCACATCTGTTGGTGTTGAAATGACTCGTAGGTACAGAGAGTTTTGAATCTGGCAGCTGAACTGGCTGCAACGTATTCCTTCGGGGCAACTGCACCCTTCAAAGTTATGTCCACAAAAAGTGCTTCATGTTGCCAGCGACAGGCTCAGACTGTTACACCGGGTGTCTGACAACATCATGGAAAGGATCCCTACGAGGGACTCCCGCTGACCCCCTGAGTTGTTGGCGTTGGGAAATGAGAGAGAGGAATTTGTTGTGTATGGTGACATTTACTCCAACACAAAAACTAATTTCTTCAACGCCAACTATAGCGTTTTGGCGGAGGGGTTTCTTCTTTTCTGGCAGATTTAATTGCAGAGCAACGCAGACACCAGCGCACAAGTATAAATGATCATGACGGCGAGCAGTCCACGAAGAAGTATAAATTAGCCTTCAGGAAGCTGGTGGGGGGGCAGATGTGTCAAGTAAACTCAGGACAAACAAAAAATGAGAGAAAGTCACACTTGACATGTTTTAAGTTATATTTCGTAGATGACTTAGGTAATGCACGTATTTTAAACCAAACCACCATCTTTTCCTAGACCTAACCAAACTACCTCCGTTTCACAACGTTTGCGTGTTTAAGGTCACATGAAGGTCCGGCAGGCCTGCTGCTGGACTGCTACTTGCTAGTGCTCGTATATTCCTGTCATAAATGTGGTGCTTTTCAACATAAATTTGTTGTTTTGGGACAATCGACCTATTTTGTCATTTAGGTTCGAGGACGTGTTGGTATTGAATGTTATTATGCCGCATGTCACTAAACTAATGAATCAATGAGAAGTGATTAGAAAATTTGATTTATTAGTTAACGCCTATTACATTAAAACTTGTAATACTTGCCAAACTGAAAAGAAGCTTCTTTCTGAAGAGCTGGCTCTGACACAAATACTGAAACAGCAACTTCACCAGACTGAAACATGCTTCAGAGCTTCAGTATCACATCCTCATACCTAAACGACAAAAGAGGTTGATTGTCAGGCGTCACAAAACATTTAGGCAACAAAACCACTTGGTTAGGTTTAGGAAAAGGTTCTGGTTTGGGTTCTGAGTTTCCTGGACTCTCCATCCACCCCACCTCCTCCTTACACTTTGACACTCTTTATAGTATGTCACCTGACTTCTTCTGCCACTAGAGGTTACAGCCTAACAAAAAAAACTAAATATGAGTGTTAGTAAGCTTCTGCATTTCAACCCTCATGACCGTTTTTCTGGTGAGGACAGGCTGTCTGATGGATCTAATTAAAGTTTGATCAAAGAAAAGGACAGTAGATCATTTACCTGCCTCATGTGTTCCGCTCCTCAGGGACTTTCCTCAACGTGGTCAGATCCTTTAAACATGTATAATCTTAGTTAAGGGCTCTGATCGTGGTCACACAAGGCAACTTTTAGGAGGAGTGTGAGGTCACTACTTCAACCAAACTGCAGCTCAAGTTACCAAGACCCAAAATGTGGATAAAAACATATTCTTACTCGGCTTTACTTTCTGCAACCAGCATATTTACTGCACAAGTTCTTCTTCAGCTTTTTACAGGACAGGTGGAAGCACTGCCTTTATATACACCACAAGATGGCTGATGCTTTGTCAATTATCCAATGAGAAGTAGACACACAGATGTCCCGCCTCTAAAGGATGCTGCAGCTGCAACACAGAAACTTCACAATAAAAGTGTTAATGTCTTTTAGTGGTCACAGTTTTGGTTCTTTAGTATTCATATATATAGTTTCACCATTTCTGATTGGTGACGCTGCATAATTTTTGCACCTTTAAAATATTGTTCAAATGATCTTTTGATTATAAAATCCGACTAAAAAAGAGCAATTTTCTCATGCACATTTATATGCATTTAAAAAGAGGAATAATGCAGAAGACATTACCAACAAAAACCCCAAATAATAATCCACTTGTTGATTTGATTGATCCCTTTTAATTCCCCCCAAAACAGTCACACTTTATGGTATTTAGCCTAAAATGACCAAGCTGACTGTAGTTTATGTTCTCTGCAATGAAAGGTACACCAAACTACCATAACACTTTTTAAGTCAAGTGCAGAGGAAGATCTTGTCTCCTGTCTGTTTGCTGAAGCTCTACAGACTGATATAACCTCAAACCCCTGCCCTGTTTCTAACCCTGCATACTGTTTTTACACTGGTGAACGTCACCTGAAGCTCAGTAGATTTTATTAGTGACACATTAAAATCCCCGGACAGGGACGCTGGACAGTCCAAATAAAGTGAGACCAAACACAGAAACACTGTTGAATAGTTCAGGAAATATCAAAACAAGAGGTTTAGGTAGAGTTACGTCTGCCATTTCTTCACCAAATAAACATCAAACACTGAGGATTATTGTAGGAAGAACAGCTGGAGCCCAGATGTGAAGACACGTTTGCAGTAGCACGACGTGGCCACTAGGTGTGAGTAAAACACAGTGGTGGAGGAGGAGCTGCTGAACTTCAACTGGGGCTCTTATTTTGAAGGTTTCCTTGCAGTAGAGACTGAAGTACTAGAGTGAAGTATCAGAGCTGAGAGTCAAGTATTACAAAGTATAACAGAGTAAAGTGCCGTAGAATAATTACAGTTGTTTTCAGAAAGGATTTCACAAGTTCACAGGTCACTACTACTACTGCCAATACTACTACTGCTGCTGCTAATACTACTACTGCCAATACTACTACTGCTGCTGCTAATACTACTACTACTACTGCCAATACTACTACTGCTGCTGCTAATACTACTACTGCCAATACTACTACTGCTGCTGCTAATACTACTACTGCCGATACTACTACTACAGCCAATACTACTACTACTGCCAATACTACTACTGCTGCTGCTAATACTACTACTGCCGATACTACTAATACTGCCAATACTACTACTGCTGCTGCTAATACTACTACTGCCAATACTACTACTGCTGCTGCTAATACTACTACTACTACTGCCAATACTACTACTGCTGCTGCTAATACTACTACTGCCAATACTACTACTGCTGCTGCTAATACTACTACTACTACTGCCAATACTACTACTGCTGCTGCTAATACTACTACTGCCAATACTACTACTGCTGCTGCTAATACTACTACTGCCGATCCTACTACTACAGCCAATACTACTACTACTGCCAATACTACTACTGCTGCTGCTAATACTACTACTGCCGATACTACTAATACTGCCAATACTACTACTACTGCCAATACTACTACTGCTGCTGCTAATACTACTACTGCCGATACTACTACTACAGCCAATACTACTACTACTGCCAATACTACTACTGCTGCTGCTAATACTACTACTGCCGATACTACTAATACTGCCAATACTACTACTACTGCCAATACTACTACTGCTTCTGCTAATACTACTACTAATACTGCTAATAGGCCTACTACTACTACTGCTGCTACTACTACTACTGCTAATACTACTAATACTGCTGCTACTACTACTACTGCTAATACTACTACTACTGCTAATACTACTAATACTGCCAATACTACTACTACTACTGCTAATACTACTACTACTGCTAATACTACTAATACTGCCAATAGGCCTACTACTACTACTGCTGCTACTACTACTACTGCCAATACTACTACTGCTGCTAATACTACTAATACTGCCAATAGGCCTACTACTACTGCCGATACTACTTCTACTGCTGCTACTACTACTACTGCCAATACTACTATTACTCTTATGCTACTACTACTACTGCCAATACTACTATTACTCTTATGCTACTACTACTACTGCCAATACTACTACTGCTGCTGCTGCCACTATTATTCTTCTGCTAATACTACAGTACTTATCCTACCAAGCACAACTCTTTTTTAGAACATGCACCACTAACTCTGAAACCTTGAACAAACATACACAAGGATACCATATTCTACTTCGATTGTATACAGTGTGTATATTTTACATTCGGGGGACCAGTAAACTAACATCTTCTCTATATTTTACAGCTGCTACCACCACTGCCATTACACAACTATTACTACAACCACTGTTATTCAGATAATCAATTTAGGTAAATAAGCAATACCACAAGGTAAATATACTGCAAGTAACAGTCCTGTACGAACATTTTTACTGAGTTAAAAGTGTAGTAAAAAAAGCATTATAAACTCATACGAGTTAACCCTTCCAGAGAGTTAAATTAGTATCTATATTATTGGATCAATACAACTGATTCATAAGCTGATCATCTGTTTACAATGAGTTTCTGTTACTCCAGAAACTCCAGAGGTATAAAGTAGAATAAAATGGTACTCATGTAGAGTGTAAATACCTCCAAACTGTATGTACATTGCAAAGACTAATATTTGTGCCACTATGTTACAGTACAGTACAGCCACTACACTACTACTAGTTCTACTACTACTATTACATCTACCACAACCAACCCACAACAGTACTACAACTACAACTAGTGCCACTACTGCTAGAGTATTACTATTACAACCACAACACCACTAGCCTACTACTACTTCTACTATCACTATTACAACTACCACTATACTACTACAACTACTAGTGTCAATACTTTTACTGCAAATTCAATAATTACAGTAGTAGGCTACTAGTACTATTAGAACTACTGTTTCTGTTACTTTCCGTGCACTACACTACTATTGTTATTAGTAACCTACTGATGTTAACTCCACTGCCACCAATAATAGGCGACTACCACTACACCATCTACATAATCTCATCACTACTAGCCTAGTACTACTGTACCTAGTCTGCTACTTCATAGTCTACAATAGCCACTAATGTTACTGATACAGCTAATACATTACATGCTTAATTATTATTATTAATACTATTATTATAGTTATTACTACTAGTTGCTTGTAGCCTTCTAACAGCCTACTGTAAGAGGCCATCAGACTACTACGGTGTTATTACTGGCATATGACAAATACAGTAACACATTATTAATAATATTATTATATGGTAATAGCACGTGATTCTGCAGTCCTTCGGGTCTGACGTCACCCCTCTTCCTCCTCCTCCTCCTCCTCCTCCGCTCCGCTCTGCCTGCGCGCACTGAATTCAACATGGAGTAAGGAGGAGATGGGGCTCGTCCGGGGCCATCCTCACCGATACCAGCGCACCATTTTCGGTCACCGCATTCCAGTCCGGTCCGGCGGGGGAGGAGGAGGAGGAGGAGGAGGAGGAGGAGGCGGAAGAGGAGGAAGAAAAGTCGTGGGAGGAGGAGGAGGAGGAGGAAGGTGGAGATCGGATGCGCCTCTTCAGATGCGCTCCAGTAATTGAGGACTGAAATAAGAAGGATAAGAAGAAGTAGAAGAAGAACAGGAGGAGGAGGAGGAGGAGGAGGAGGGGAGGAGGAGAGGCGGGGATCCGGGAATACATAACGCACATCGGGATTAAAGAACCGAGCGGAGAGCGGGAGGGAGCCGAGTCTGCAGCCGCCGCCTCCGCCGCTGCCGCTGAAGGGCGAGGAAACATGAAGACACCGCGCCGTGCAGCCGCGGCGGGAGCTTATTTTTACCGGAGGTGAAACGGAAAAAAATGAGCGAGGACACGCGCCCAGACGAGTGAGTACCCCCACACGCGTACCATATAATAATAAGTCCCTTTTCATGATTATTCTGTATCTCTTATGATCGGCTGCCTATTGGCGCGCTGCTGCTCAGCTCTGTGCTTTGATCACATGGATTCAGACAGCTGCTGATATGTTGTTGTGGGCTCAAGTGATGAGGAGCATTCAGCAGGAGCCCTATACTCCTCATCTTCATCTTCATCTTCCTCCTCATGGAGAGGTCGGTTGAGGATGGAGAGATTTCACAGGAGGCAGAAATGTGTGCAGCCTCCTGCAGATGTGATACAGTCATAACAGAGAGGAGAGGATGGGGGTGCAGTTTGCACCATGATGGACTTGACAGAGCAGACAGAGGAGGTTCTGCAGCATCCCACCATGTCTTTAATTCCCTTCCATGTTTGCATGTTGTCCTTTCATTCATTAAAAACAGATGCAGTGAGGAAAAGAACAGGCTCCTACGGGGCTGTGAAGCGCTGGTTCTCGGCCTTTCTGGCTCATGACCCCTTAAAATGAGGCCACTGTATGTTGTGACTCATCATCAGGGTGCACGTGTCTGCAGGTTGTGACCGGTCCAAACAAAGCCTGATTATTCCTTCTTGTTGTTGAGAAAGTTAAAATTATGCTTCAGGTACTGGTGAGATGATAAAATACGATCCAGGAAGTCCAGTCCAGTTTGGGAATCAATTATTGGCATGTATGTGCTTTGATGTTGTGGTGTACAACAGTCAAAATATACAAAGTCGGAGAAAATATAATAGAAAATATAAATTTACAATGAAAATGTGTGCAACATATACAGCATTGTTTCCCAACCTTTTTCATCTGTTGAGCCCACAGCCCCATCAGGTGTTCCTAAACACCCCTTTATCATGGGAAGGCTTTATGTGTTGTTCAGTGGTGTTTTTTAGTATTTATAAATGACAGAAACTGGATTTTTCAACCATTTACAGTGCATTTACTTTTAGCTTTTTGTGGTCTTTTCCCAAAAAGTCTTTCTGCAGTCTTTCTCCATGTACCCCCTGGTAACCCCAGAGGTACCCCTTAGTGTACAAGTACCCCTGGTTGGGAATCACTGCTCTACAGTTTTAGGAGCTGGAATAAAGACAAATGGAAGAGATTGGCCAACACATCCTCATGCTTAAAGACAAAATAAGTTGATTGTCAACTGTCCCAAAACGACATATATATGTATATATATATATGATCATTGGAAAGTACCAGTCCAGCAACATGCTACCAAACCGGAAGTACCTGACGTAATTCACCTACGTAACATTATTTAACTTAAATAAGTCATTGTTCACTTGCCGACCAAACCCTGTATGGAGGTTTCCTCGAGGCCCATAAATTTCATCACAACCCCGCGACATCCCGTCACTCATGAGAGACGTAACCATATTGTTTAGATAAGAAGCTCCCGTGGAATCTAAGAACCCTTTTCGGCCATCAGTGACTCTACGTTGGTGTTTGTCAGGTGAGCCTTGTAGAATCAGAATCAGAATCAGAACGAGGTTTATTGCCAGGTACATTTTCACATACGAGGAATTTGTCTTGGTATATTGGTGCTTTTGAACATAAATACAGAAATATAAATATAAAGTAAAGAGATCAAAAATGTACAAGTATACAAAATAATGCAATAATACTAAAATACTAATGGAAAAAATATATAAATATATACAGGATAATAACAAGCAACATGCAAAAAATCAGCTTCTCTGCAGAGCGAATGATACGCTGCAGCCTGCCCTTGTCCCTGGCAGTGGCAGCAGCGTACCAGATGGTGATGGAGGAGGTGAGGATGGACTCCTCTGCTGGGCCTTCTTGGTGAGGGAGGTGATGTTCAGCTCCCACTTGAGGTCCTGGGAGATGATGGTGCCCAGGAAGTGGAAGGAGTCCACAGTGGTGACGGGGGAGTCACACAGGATGATGGGGGAGGGTGGGGCTGTGATCTTTCTGAAGTCCACGACCACGAAGGGGGGAAAGAACGTAGCCTTGAGGTGAACCGGTGCTAAGGTTCCTGGAATCAGAGACATGTTTTCCCAGCTTCACGTGCTGCTTTCTGTCTGTCAAGAAGTCTGTCCACTCTTGATATTGTCTCCAGGTTTCACACGGTGTTAAAGTCCACCTGAGTTTGTTGATGTTGTCGCTCTTTATACTTTAGACTTTCTCCTGTGCTTCTAATATACGGCTACTAAGGCTGGGTTCAAACTGCAGCCAAACTGACCAAAATCTGATCTTTCTGCTCACATGTGACTCAGATCAGATTTGTTTATTAAGAGTGTCACATGGACTTTTTTTCCGGATTTGGGCCACTTTCATATGTGGTCCAAATCAGATACAGGTCGGATTGTTTGAAATGCGACACACTGGACAGTCAGATCGGAGTTCATGCAACCAGAATTAAAAATGTAGCCCTCGTTATCATTTGCTCACGAATTCTACCATCTGACATCAACTTAAAAATGTAACCATCGACACTAACCTCTGTGATGGAGTGATCAAGTGCGTCACATGCATAATACTTGTCCGGGTAAAAACAGTAGAGAGAAAGTGAGAGTTATAGGGCTTTAAGGATCTGTACAGCACCAGAAACTGTAATGAAGGCCATGAAAAGGGCACAAAGTCATGAACATTTGTCTTAAATCGGGAGAATTGTGACACCGGAAGGAAACGCGGAGAGGGCTATTTAAAACATGATCTCCTGTGAAGATTGGGAGGGTTAGGAAGTAAGAGCTAACCTCTGTGGTCTCCCATGTTTACTACCGTACGACAGCGTGTGTGATGTTGTATTATTATTTTGCACATGCAGGTCAATTTCAGGCCATGGCCAGTTTCGCTTCGGATAAAAGCATCAGCTAAATGAGTAAATGTAACGTAGACGTGATCGTAGCCATCTCATGAGACCCTAAACATGGAGAAGAGGTGTTTAGCTTTTATGCTTTATATATCTGAATCAAACTCCCAGATTAATCAACACATTCTCACTCATCACAAGTGGACGCTCAGTCCAGACCCCTTGGTGTCACTTTTTAACGCCTTTAGCATCGTTTTTGGACATGGAGGGCTCCGCAGTCAAGTTAGCAATAATAAATACGCCAGTAGCGTAAGGTAGTAACAACAGGCCCCGGTGATGATGGGCCCTTGCGCTCCACAGTGACGAAGCACATGAGCGCGCACACACTGCGTTCGTGTCTAGACAGGTATCCTATTGGCAAATTTGTGTGCCTTGTTTTCTCGTGCACAGTTTAACAACTGATAAGATTAGATGCAGTAAATACCTAATTTAAAGCTCCTTAACTTGATTTCCTTCCATATTAACATATTAAATTCAATAGTTCTCTTTTTGTGTGTCTCTCCAACACAAACGCTGCTGCTGTGTGACGCAGCAGTCTAAAGCAAAGTACCATCATGTGATGGATGTTAGAGTCAGACTGTGTCACCTAGACTTTTGTATTTGCAAAGTACAGAAGTTAAAGAGAAAGTTATAAGGTGCATGTCCAGTGCTGTCATTGTCAAAATCCTGAAACGTCACTACAAACAGCTGAGAGCAGGAGGTGACCACTGTGCTGAAATGATGCAGACTTTTTCTGCAATTTCAGTACAATAACCTCCTGAATCACGACAACCACATTTCTCTTCCACAGAGAGGCAAGACATTATGGTGAATAAGAAAGAGAAGTGGCCTGAAAGCAGCTACAGTGCACACAGTTTAATACCCAACACATCCACAATATCAAACAGGTGCTCAGAGGCGACCTGTCCCCGAAATGATAACAGCCTTTGAAACAGCGGCACGGCAGCCGCACCAAATCCACTGAAAAAGCACTTGTAAAATTACTCACCTATTTGAAAGGCATCCGACGACAATGTCCTTTGTAAAAAATCCAAAACAATCTTATTTGGGAGCATTGCAACCCTCTCCTCCTGTTCTTTTCCCTCTTGTCTCTTCTTCAAACTACTTTTATGTTTGAATGGCATGACTGCTAGGTTGCACCTGTGCTCTGCTAGCTCTGATATCCACTAAAATAAACACTGAGAGGTGAGCCAGGTGTCTACTGTTAAATGTTGCCTATAGATGCATTTTTACCACGTAACTCCCAAAGTCCCACTCATAACCTGGGGGTGCCGCTCCTGTCACGGGCCCCAGTGCTACTGCACTGTCTATACCAACGCCCATGAAATAAACAACATCCACCTAGCCTTTCAAATAAAAATAGTGGTTAACGTAAAACGTCGTAACTTGGTTAGGTTTAGGCACCAAAACTACTGGGTTAGGTTTGGGAAAAGATCAGGATTAGGTTAAAATAATTATGCAACTTACGTAACCTACGTAATCAACGCAGCTTAACTAAAAACAATCAATGCTGGAATTTAGTTTCACACATTAAAGTCTAGTTTCTGGCCTACCCATCCATCCCAACCACTTCCTTACTCTGTTATTTATTACTACACCTGCTTTTTCATAAATTACTCTCCTGTTTTATCTTGTTTTTATTTTCTGGTTCTGTAACTGACGCTCACAACTCTCATTACGCTGGTCGGGCGTGCAGAGGAGTGAAAATGGAGCAAGACTTTAATTCTTCACACAACTGACTTACTGTCAAACTTCCAGGAGAGACTCTCTGAAAGTGTGCCGTTATCTTTATTTCTAAGATTCATTTCGGTCGAGACTACAAAGACAGAGAGCTGTCCAGCGAGACAGTGAGATTCAACCAGTTTGAATAAACATGTTGGCTTTGAATGCACCCTCAGAGCCCTCAGCACATCAGATTCTTTGTCCGTAGTGTAGGCAGCAGGCTCCCTTTTCTGTTGACTGCCTCGTGCTGTGCACACCCCTGCAGGTAAACACATGACAAATACAACCGCGTACAGCCAGACAATAGGCTCAAGTTGTGAAATGTTCACCCAAATTGCACCAGGCTGCAGAGAGAAGCAGGCTGCTCTTTGTAATTTTTACTGGGGCCCCCACTTTAAAGTTTCAGTTTGATTTAC